TAAGTTCAGGCATTTTACGTGTATTATTTGTTGCTTTGTCTAAACACGTGTTTGTTTGTTGTGTTGTTTGTTTTTCTTCTAAGGATCTAGTAAAAACTATTGCTCAAACAGAATCAGCCTCCGAATTAAACACAAGCCCGATCATTTTTCTTGACTTGTATATTAAAATTGCTAATGCTGAAGATCAAAATAAAAAAACAAATCAAGAGATTATTAGGTATTATTATGATTTTGGAAAAGCACTCAAAGATCGTTTAAATTATTATAAAACTCTTCATCTGAAACAAACTGTCAAGATGCTTGTTAATGATGAAGTTAGGAATCAACTTTCTCAAAAGGTTACTAAGACAACACTTCGAAAAAATACAGAAAAAGCTCGAAAAATTTATAAACTTTTTAATAGTATTGGTAGGAATGATAACATGATTGAGCAATTGATACAACGAGTAAGTATTTCTGCTTCAACAATTTCGAAACTAAGCAAAGATAACATTGAACATATAGTAGTTGCGGTTATAAAAAATAAGCAGTAACGGTAATTTCATGTGGCCATCAGAATTTATTCCGATTTTACTGCGCCACAAGTCACATGATACTGTGAACTCGGTTCACACTCTTTCTCCATGATTTTTGTATTACCTATAACTGTATTTGTTATAGAATAAAATTATCTAAGTATGCATAGTACGTAAAAAAAATCACTTTCGTTCAATCTGATAACGTATCATAGAAATTCCTTGAGGCATAATTTGTTTGTAAATGGGTCACAACACAAGTACCACACAGGTTTGTATAATAAAAATTTTTAGCCACGTATATTTTTTCTGTTAGAATAATTAATGTTAAATAAAAATAAATCGGGGTTAACAATTTGTATGTAAAGTCTTATCGTCTTACTGTTAATTAAAAAAATCCTACAGTTATCCCACAGTTTTCCCATAGTTATCCCGTAGTTATTAGTATCTGTTGTATTCTATAATATAAAAAAATCCCGTAGTTATCTTGCTGTAAAATTATTCATCATTAATATGCTGATGTGTTAGAATAATTCTGCATATGAAATTTATCCGTATCACCTTACAAGTAGGGATGGGCACGCGCGGGATTTTTTTTGATCCCGCGCGGGATTTTTAATATGATCCCAAATAAAATTACCCAGCCGGCATTACCAAATTAAATGGCTAGCATTAATATGATATCTGGCTTGCATTAACATATCTAGGCAATTTCTAATTAGTAATTGACCTAATTTGTCTGTATATCATTTACATGCATACGTATATCATGCTTAATATATTTATGCGCATTTCTGTATAGAATTTATTGTGTATATCATGCTTAATATATAGATATATGCACTTCTACGTAGAATTTACTTGTCTATATGCACTTCTACATAGAATTTTTTTGTAAATCATTTTGTATATGTACATGTACGTACGTATATACATATATATGTAATAAATTTTATCTTTTTGCCGTTGGTATCTTTTGCTACCAAAAATTTTCTTTACTACGTCTAATAAATAAATATAAATACTATTAAGTCATTCTTTTTAATAATAACTACTATATAACATGGGTGGTAACCATGATATTTGGAAATATTTTACAAAAATTGGTCCAGATAAAAACTTTAAGCAAGGACGTGCCCAATGTAATTACTGCGATCATAAATGTAATGAATCAGTAGTAAGATGTGAAGGACATTTAAAAGTATGTGATTATGCTGATTTAGAAACCAAACAACAATATTTTGGATCTACATTTCAAGAACCAGTAAAAAAAAATCCAGTAATAAATATTAATAGACAAAAAAATACAAATATTCAAAATTTTCTTGATAGAATTTCTCAGTCTGAACAAGATGATATTGAATTATCAGTTGCTCAAACAATTTTTGAATGTGGTTTGTCTTTATCTTTATTAGAATTAAAGCCAGTAAAAAAATTGTTTAAAAAAATTAGACCAGCTTTAAGATTACCAAGCAGAAAAAAACTTTCAACAACTTTATTAAATAAAACATATGAAAATACTAAAGATGAAATTGATAAAATAATTAATGAAGCTGAATTTATTAGTATAATTAGTGATGGATAGTAAATATTTTTATTATTTTTATCAATAAAATAATATAAATTTAATTAATTTTATTTTATATATAAAAATTAATTATTTTTAGGTCAGATTTAGTTGCAGAACATTGGACAAATTATATTGTTACTACACCAGTTCCTGTGTTTGTATTTGCTAAACCAACAGGTGAAATTCAACAAAGTGGTATTAATATTGCAGCAGATTTAGAAAAAATTATTTTAACTTATAATTCAGAAAAAGTTTCAGCAATTATAACAGATAATGCATCTGTTATGAAAAAGGCATGGAAAATTTTAGATAAAAAATATCCAAAAATTATTTTTATGGGTTGTTTAGCTCATAATATTAATTTACTTGTTCATGATATTATTAAATTAAATTGGGCACAAGAAATATTATCAAATGCAATATTAATAGTAAAGTATTTTAGAAATCATATAATTCCTGCAGCAATTTTAAAAAAATATCAAGAAGATAAATATGGATCAAATTATAAAACTCTTAAATTACCTTGTGAAACAAGATGGAGCTCAGCCGCAAACTGTTTAGATTCAATTAAATTTAATCAGTTAGCAATTAGTTTAGCTATTACTGAATTAATTAATCATCCAACTGTTTCTGTTGATTTAGATATTAAAAATATTATTCAAGATGATGAATTTTGGAATGAAGTTCAGAACTTATTAGTTATTTTAAAAGTTTTAGCAAGTGGAATTACAATTTTTGAAGGAAATACTTCATATCTATCACAGTTTTATAAATGGTATAAAAATCTTGAAAATAATAAATGTAAATATTAAAATTTTTTAGTATAAATAAATATATAATTATTATATAAATTATAGTATAATTTAAAAACTAAATTTTATATTATAGTTTTATAATAATTATCTATTTTAAAAATTAATTTTATATTACTTTAAATTTTTCTAATATATATTAAAACTAATTATTTTATTATATAAAAAATTTATTTATAGGCTTAACAAATAGTAGTGTTTTTGTAGATATTCATGATATTATTTTAAAAAGATGGGATAGTATGTATAACCCTGTAATTGAAATTGCATATCTTCTTGATTCTAGATTCCAAGGAAAAACTTTACCTAATAATATTATGACAACAGTATCTAATTTTGTTAAAAAATATTATTCTGAAACTTGTACTAAAATTTATAGTCAATTATTAGAATATTTAAACCACTCAGGACCATTTAATAATACTATGGCATGGGAATCAGTTAATAGTGTTGATCAATTAACATGGTGGTCTGGAAATTTTTCAAATTCAGCTCCTGAGCTTGTTCAATTTGCAAAAAGAATTTTAACAATACCTACATCATCTGCAGCAGCAGAGCGTAATTGGTCAAATTTTAGTTATATACATTCAAAAAATAGAAATAGACTTAAACCTTCAAATCTTTTTAAACTAGTTTATATATTTAGCAATAGTAAACTAAATAATTCTTATAATACTAAAAAAGAATTATTTAGTAAAAAAAATGAAATTGATAATTTGGATTGTTTTAATATTGATAAATTTGATTTAGAAAATAATTTTTGGGAAGATATTTTTTATGATAGTGAAAATGAATCAGATTTATTTGATGATGATAATTCAGAAGAATTAAATATTGATTATTATAATGATAGTCAATATAGTGATAATCAATATAGTGACAATCAATATAGTGATAATCAATATAGTGATGATCAAAATATCGAAGAATAAAATATAAAAGGCAAGAAAATTTTTAATAATTATAATTAAATTTAAATTTTAACAATATTTATTAATTTTGCTTATTTAAATTTATTAGATAAGTAAATATAGAGTACAAAAATTAAAAAATATATAAAAAAAATTAAAATAATTAAAAATACAAAAAAAAATTAAAATTATAAAATATAAAAAAAATATTAAAATTATAAAATATAAAAAAAATATTAAAATTATAAAAAAGAAAAAAAATTTTAAACTCTGGCTAAATTATTATAAATATTTTTAAAAATCAAATTGGTAAGTATATTATTTTATATTTTATTTTTATTTTTATTTATTAAAATAATTATTAATTTATTTATTTATTTGATTTTTTAATTTTAATTATAAAAAATTTAGCAAAATCGGAATTAATTAAATTTTAAATGTTTAAATATTTCATATAAAATTAATAAGATTAAATTACTTTATGATTAAATTTTATAAGAATTCTATGTAAATTTTCAACTATTTTATATGTAGGCAAAATCTATATAAGTATTTCTTATTTATAATAAATAAGATTTATAAGAAATAACAAATTCGAGCAAGAAATTAACTTTTAATACTAAATCCCGTCAGTTTTTTTTATTAAATGCAAAAATTAAAAAATCGTAACCCAATCCCGCGCGGGATGCGAATCCCGCGCGGGATCCACGCGTGACGCGCGGGATTTTTGAAAAAACCGCGATTTGCCCATCCCTAATCGTGAGTGCTGTATACAAAACTTATTCTCTATTCCAGTATTCAGTATACAGTTGAGTTAGTTTGTATTGAAACGATAATGATTTTTATCGTGAGTTACTGTTACTACTCTAATGGTTAAAGTTGGATTAATTCTATTGTAAATTACTAAAAAAAATTATATCCAAAGCTTACACTCTGCTTTGGTAACACAGTATAGTTGAGTTGGAATTATCGTGATTTCAATCATGAATCGCTATAAAAATTCTGTCAAAGAAAATTCCAGAGCTAACTCGTGTATAGTATGAGGTTAAGGTTGAGTTAGTTTGTATCGAATTATCGTGACTTAATATAAAAAATTTATATTTTACAGAACCAATTTATTACTGTGATAAAATAAGTATACGGTGAAGGATAGGTTAGTTTAAAAGGCTAAAGAAACTGTAGCAACAATACTAACGACAGTGAAATGATGGAATTACACCAATAAATAACTCCAAAAAACACCACCAAACAGACAAAAACACCAATACTGCAATAAAAAAAATAAAGACGAAATTTCCTAGAAATTTCCTGGTGAAAGTAAATCTGATAAATTCCGGGATCGACATTGTGCAAGAATTTATCACAGATCAGTGATAAATAAATTACGTACGTACATACGTATCAGGTATAGGATAGGAAGCGATAGTTCAAGATCTATAAAAAATATCTAACGTATCAAAACCAAAAGTTGATGGCATATTTGAAAGAGATTCCGGAGAAGATATTCTTAAACAAATGAATAAAGTTCTTTTATTCATGACAGAATTACCGGAAAAAGAAAATGATGCACTTGCGGCTTTACAATCTTTAATTTACGAGGGTCCACCTGAAGGTATTTTAATCTAAAATTTGGATAAATTTTATTTTAGAATTTAACTAAAAATCTTTTATATATTCTATAGAAGTTGCCGAGAATTTTAAAAATCAGGGGAATGAATGTTTTAAAACTGGAAAATCACAATATCAAGATGCAATAAATTTTTACATGAAAGCATTAGAAACAAATTGTCAAGACAATAGAATCATTGAAGCATGTTTAACAAATCGTGCAGCTATTAATTTAGAATTACGTAAGTAAATTATAAAATTAATTTTTTATTAGGATAACATCCTTTAGATTGTTGTGAACATGGAATTGAAATAAATATTAAATATTTTTTCTATAGTGTATATAATGTGCAAGATAATCTTTTTATAATAAATTATGTTTGTATAATGTTATCAGATAGAACCAAATAACTTAGCTTTACAACAATTAAGAGAGACTTGTATTAAACAAAAAGAGATATTGGATCAAAAGGCTAAAATTAAAGAAGAGCGTAAACGAAAGGAATGAGAAAAAAAAAAAGACATTAGAGAAAGCTATAAAGGTTTAAAAAGATTATATATGCGTAATATTAAAATGAAAACAACACCGATATCACCTCATTCAGTATATCTAAGATACAGAAACTCAACAATTAATTTGCCCCTTTTTTCCTAAATCCAGAACTTAAGGAATCAGGTTTTAATGAAGGGAATACATTTTTAGATCATCTTGAAATGATTTTTGAACAACCAGCACCTTGGGACATTGAACATAATATACACCAAATAATATACAAATTTACTACGAATATAAGTTATCAACAAGAAATGAAGAGAAACAAAAGTTAATCAGAATTGGCAAGAATTGCACCTTAAAAGAAGTATTATCACATCCAAAATATGTAGTAAAAAATGGTATTCCTAGTTTTATCATTTTACAACAAGGAAAGTTTCAAGAGGAATTTTTGGCAAAATATAAGTTAATTTCGCCAAAAATTCCTCTTATATCCGCTAATCTGTGTACGTAATACTCTACTTAATAGTAAATCATATATAATTTAAGACAAAACGTATCACAAAGACCGATAGATGAATACAAAACTATAAAAATTAATAATTATATAATTCACACTCAAAAGAACATAACTACAAAATAATCAGAAGATTGGTGAGATAATCAGGTTGCTTATTTATACCAGTGCTTTAAATAATAGTTTTTAAAGTATATTTACTTCTAATATGTAGAAGTTTAACCAACAAGATCTATATATTTATGCCGGTACCATTCTATTTTTAAAATTTAATAGATCGAAGTTGTTATATAGAAACTTAGGCTCTATATAAAGGTTTTGTATTAAATAATATAGTTATAACACAGTACTGTTTGATTTTGTATATTATACAGGTCTTTTTATTAATATTTTCTTATAATAGACTGAATATAATTTGTAATAAAATAAATCTACTACTGTAATGAATCTTGTACGTATAAGATCGTTTATAATATTAATTTTTATTTTGCTATTTATTTTTAAATACTAATGCTAAATTTTATTTACATTTTAGATTATAACTAATTTTACCTAAGGGTGATATCACCCATCTTTAATGCCTTCAACTTTCGTTATTATTGTTTCACTGCCTATAGTCGTTGTAATTTGGATTATGCGTAATAATATACGTAATGGTAATAGGTATAGTACTTATGTTCATGATTTGTTTTGCTGTTTAATTTGTTTAATTCAACTGATTAATAAATGAGCTTTATATACATTTCTGAATTGAACGATTATGTGGATAAAATGAGAAATATTATGTCACTAGCAAATTACGTTGAAAGAACTGCTTGAGAACACCCGGAGAGTTAAGTTATCGAACAACCTGATTGGCACAATATATTACGATTATCATATAAGTCGAAATAGCCAGGACTATTACTTCAATTATTGTGGTTTGCATGAATTTGTGAAATTTACATATCATTAAAAGGAAGAAAAACACAAATTTGTGCTAACTGCAATAATTGCAATGACTTGATCATGATGCGGATGATATGATGAAACGGTAAATAGGTATTTATGTTCTTAATTTATATACTTGTTTTGCTGTTTTCCGTAACTCAACCGATTAATAAATGATCTTTATGCTCACCTTCTGAATGGAATGATCAATGCGAATAAAATTATTTGAAGAAGCTGCTTGTGAACATCCGAGGAGTTAAGGATATAGCTTCTATCGAATGATCTGTGGAGAAAACAATCAACTACAATTATTATATAAGTCGAAAAGCTGGGGCATTATTCAATTATTGCGGTTTGCATAAATTTGTGAAAAAAACACACGATTACTAGGTGTTTTTTTTTAGTCTACAAATTTCACAAATTTATGTGAACCGCAATAATTACAACGTCTTGATCACAATGCGGATGAAATGATATAATGGTAAATATTATTTATATCCTTGATTTGTGTACTTGTTTTTATGTAATTTGCAGATCATTAAAAACGCGATTACTAGATTTTTTTTTTTTCACAAATTTATTGAACTGCAATTGTTACAATGGCTTGATCAAAATGCGACATGATGCAACGGTAAATAGGGATTTATTTCCTTGATTTGTGTACTTGTTTTGCTGTTTTTATGTAATTTAATTGATTAATAAATAATATTTATGCACCTAAACGGAATATTCAATGGGGATAAAATGATTTGAGGAGTTGTTTATCGAATGACCTGATTAGTAAAAAAAAAATCGATTGTGGTTATTATATACGTTGAAAAAGCTAGCCATTATTCAATTATTGCAGTTTGTATAACTTTGTGAAATTCGCAGATCATTGAAAATAATCTATAAATTTCACAAATTTATGTAAACCGCAATAATTTCAATAGCTTGATCATGTTGCGGATAAAATGATGTAATAGTAAATATGTATTTATGTTCTTGATTTGTATACTTGTTTTGTTGCTTTTACGATTAATAAATGATTTTTTATGCTTAAATTCTGAATCCATACAATAAAATTATTTGTAGGAGATACTTAGAAACACCCGGTGAGTTAAGGTTGTGCGTTTATCAAATGGCCTAATTGAAAAAAATTGATTACAGTTATCATATAAGCTGGGTAGTTTTATTTAGGTTTAGTATTAGTTACAGCTACTGGGGAATTTATGCTAATAAACTTAGTATCAATTTTGAAACTTGATGTATTTACTTAAAGCTTGATGTATTTTATTTGCAAAAAAAAAAAAAAAGGTTAATTGGTTTTGAGGTTTCTAAACCAATTTTTAAGCTAATTTCCAAACTAGGTAATATTACCTAGGGTAAAAATTAGCAATAGTCCAAATTTTAATAGAAAACTATATTTTAAAAATGATCACTATCGCTATATGGGGGTGAGTCAATAGAAACGCATCAAATTTTTTCTAAGTAAATTTTTTTAAAACTTTGAACAAAAATAACTTAACAATAATTTAATCAAATTTAATAAAAATTTTTTTAAAATAATTCTAATAACTTATAGAAATTATTTAAAAAAAAATTTACTAAATTTGATAAAGTTTTTGTTGAGTTATATTTGATTAAAATTTAAAAAAATTTTATTAAAAAAGATTTGGTGCGTTTCTATTGACTCACCCCCATATATTGGTTTTATTATTAATTGTAAAATTCCAAGTTACTTTTAGTATATCTTTAATTATAAGTATATTTTATATATTTGTAGTTTATATATATTTTTTTAATATATAATATCAATTCTAATACTGTATATAGTATAATCTTATTTGCTATAAAAGATACAAATCTATTTTATAAAGGTCAAGATTCTAAATACTCAATATTTTAAAGATAAAATTTTAATTACTATATAAATGTAAAACAATATTTATTCATGTATTAATTTATTAATCTGTATATTATTTGTTATTTTGGGTTTAAAAATTAATAGCTATGTATTGTAAATTTTTTATATATAATTTCCAATTATTATAAAATGCACCTATGGTGTTTAGCACCATATATAATTGTTTTTAATAAAATTTAGGGTTAGGGTATGGGTATTAAGAATTATTTTTTTTTTATATAATATAATATAGAGCTAATATAAGGTCCCAATCTCAGTTTTTGTGAGGTTTTTGGGGTTCTGAATATTTTTACTTAGAGTACCCAATCCTATTTACTTAGTACGTTTTTGAGAAATAAAGCTTATGGTGTTCAATACCATAGGTGTATTTTAGTAAACTTGATAATTTATAGTACTATTATACTAAAAATTAAATTATTATTTATATAATACATTTATTATACAGTATATATATAGTAATAAAATTTATTTTTATAAATTACAAATTTTTTTTTTTTTTTTTTTTTTTTTTTTTAATTAATATTAAGGTGACCATTTAGGTCCCTGGCACTTAGCTTTATTCAGATAAATACGATATTATATCAATTTCATGAGGATACAACTAGCCACACATGTACTTTTGGTACCTAATTTAAGTAGTCTGTCTGGGTTCTACACTAGCCGCCATACCTGCAACCTAACTAGAAGATTACCTATTTAGGCTCTCTGATTATTAACTAACAAGAGTATGACTAGCCATACATGCAACTTTTGGTTACCTATTTAAATAGTCTGCCCTAGGTTTCACACTAGCTGCCGTACCTGCACCTAACTATGGGGGATACCTATTTAAATCCTCTGGCTACATTTCTGTAACACGCTTTACTCTAACACTCTTAATGGGATTAGCAATGCTATATAAGAACTCTAAGACTTAGCCATATATAGGCATTTATCCTTGTGATAAACCTAACAGAATGGTATATGTTCCACACATGTACTCACCTGCGTGTTCGGTAACTTTTTCCCAACCAGTACACGTTGTGCTGCCGCTACCGGGTCTGTATCTCAAGCTATCGTTTCGGATACTGCCGTAACCCAGTTCATATCTCAAGCCACAACCTTCCTAATTAGTTCCCACTTACGTACTCCTGCCCTTGCAAGGTTCACACAACCCCAGTACCCACATTCCAACTTCCTTCTTTTCCGGATTCTTTACCGGTCCCTCCCTTACTTTCAGCTGGCAACCCGGAAGGGTCGGTCTGCCCAGACTTTAGGTGCCTTACGGTCTCCCTTCCCTTGGTACATGCTTCTAGAGCACATGTCCTTTTCCTCCGGTTGGCGACCTGGCGGTTCGGCTGGTGTGTCCCCCTTCAAGGACCTGGTTGCTTGGTTCTCCGGTCTCAGTCTCCAGTTCCAACAACTTATTTTACTTTATACAAAATACAATATAATCTTTTTTTGATAAAATATTTAATTATAGCTTTGTATTTTAAAATATTTAGCTTAATTAAACATATTTTGTTTTAATAAAACTATTTTACAAATTTGTCTAAAATTAATAGTTAATATTTTAAAATCATTTTTTTTTAGAATTAAAAAATAATAGTCTAGAATATTAAATTGTTATATCATTGTTTGTCATATAAATTAATATTAATTAGTAAAAAATATATAAATACAAAATAATAGAATTTATATAAGAAATAAAAAAAACCAATTTAGTCTAAAATATTGAATTATTATATTATTATTTGTTATACAAATTGAATATTAATTAGTAAAAAATGAAATAATAGAGCTTATATAAGAAATAAAGAAAAATAACTTAGTCTAAAATATTGAATTATTATATTATTGTTTATAATATAAATTGAATATTAATCAGTAAAAAAATAAAATAATAAAGCTTATATAAGAAATAAAGAAAAATAACTTAGCCTGAAACATTAAATTGTTATATTATTATCTGTTATATAAATTGAATATTAATTAGTAAAAAA